CCAGCAGCGGCGGCACCACGCTGCTGGTGAAGCCGGCGTCCACCAGCGCCAGGTGGCTGAGGAAGTAGTACATGGGCGTGTGCAGGCGCGGATCGCGCACCGCCAGCAGCACCATGGCCGAGTTGCCCATCAGGGTCAGGAGGTAGCAGAGCAGCACGAAGGCGAAGAGGACCGGCTGCAGGGTCGGCCAGTCGGAGAAGCCCAGCAGGAGGAAGCGCTCCTCGGAGCTGCTGCTGTGGTTGGCCTAAAGGAAACCCCCAAGAACGTTGGGAAGGGTTTAAGGGATGGAAAAAAAAAATTGGAAGGGGTGGGAGACACTAGTCTTGCAAGCCAAGAAAGCCCCAGAGATGTGGGTGTGGATGAGGGAGAAGTAAGACCAGAACTTAACAACTTGTGGGTGTGGATGGGAGGGAGCATCTTGGAAGAGAGCCAGGGGGAGGGGGCGACATTGCTCAAAAAGAAATGCACTCTTTACCTGACTATGTAACTGGAACCCCTCTGTACATCACCTTTATCATAACCACAAAAATGCTTTAAAAAGTTGATAATGATTGCGTTCTTCCTTCCTTCCTTCCTTTCTTTTTTTGGTCAGTTGTGGGGCTTGAACTCAGGGCCTGAGTGCTGTCCCTAAGCTTTTTCCCCTCAAGGCTAGCACTCTATCACTTTGAGCCACAGCACTACTTCCACAAGATTCTTTTATAATCCAAACCCGTGTACACATCTGCACCCTTAGTTTAGCGCCTTGGGTTTTGTGTGTACAAGAGCCTATGAAGACCAGGTGCCGGTGGCTCACGCCTATAATCCTAACTACTCAGGAGGCTGAGATCTGAGGATTGTAGTTCAAAGCCTGTGTGCCAGAAAAGTCCCTGTAAGACTCTTATCGCCAATTAACCACTAGGAATCTGGAAGTGGCTCTGTGGCTCAAAGTGGTAGAGCGCTAGCCTTGAGCAAAAGAGTTCAGGGACAGCGCCCAGGCTCTTGAGTTCAAACTCCCACAACCAACCAACCACCACAACAAAAAAAGAATCTTGATTTTCTGGCAGGAGTAGTCCTGACTCAGAAAGGCGAAAGACTCATTAAATTGTTGTAAGGTCATAGCTAGTTAGTGGCTACCTAAGACAGCCCTGTCTGATTTCTGTTTTTTTTTTTTTTTTGGTCTGGTCATGGGGCCTGAACTCTGGGCCTGGGCGCTGTCCCTCAGCTCTTCAGCTCAAGGCTAGTGCTCT